TATTTTTTACGACAACTGTCTTGTCCACGGTGTCTTTTATTCGTTCCACTGGGGTTTAGCAAATGTGTTGATAAAGAGACGAAAATCTCTACTGTTATTAATGTTTGTGTCTCAACATGGCTACGCTCATGAAAGCAAAACAACGAACTCAAACGCGTCTTTGTTCAATGTTGTCAACTAATAGCCGGATTAACTTTAGGCAAATTTTCCTCAATTGCCCGGAGAGATTTTCATAAAAATTTGAAAAACCCGGAATTCCGGGAAAATCCGGAGGACTTTCATCTCTGCAGGATAGAATTCTGGTTCAGACTGGGGGATGGGGATGGGGGAGGGGCGTTCCTCACAATAGCCCTGTTCACACGGCACACATTTGGTCCGACGCCGCACCGAAATATTTTGTTGCGATATATTTTACACCGGAGCAAATTTTGTGGAGCGGTCACATGTGCAAAGCCGCTGAGCGTGACAGCTCCGGCGCAGCGTCGGAGCAGCTCCACTTGCGGTCACACGTGCAGTTTCTGCTGCGGACCAAAACGACAGGAATGCGGAAGTAAAACAGGTTCGGGTCGGGCTTCTCTCTCGCGGACTTTTATTTATTTTTCTTTTAATAAATATTATGGTGGACACTATTCTGTCCTTGTTCAGAATAGATCCACTTGTCGGCAGTCGTGGAATAAAGACGTGTTTACAGTCAATCGTGTGTGCTCCTTATGACTGCCACAATATATGTTTTAAAAAATGTACACTAAAACGATGTGCGGATACTAAACTAAGGAATACTTGTTTTAAAACAAACAATTTGGATAAAACAGAGAATGCGCTGTAATTTAATTGCTATTTAACTGCTAAACAGGAGCGCGGCCGGCCAGACCAGTGCGCACGTATGTTAATTTCGTTTAAACAATCCTATAGAAATAATTTCAGATATCTTTACCTATTTATTTGATTTGAATTATTCTATTTAAAGCCTAGGAAGCCGCAGGATTTCTCTGCGTAATTAAGCAAATGCGCATCGAGATTTCTCTTTGTCTGGCCTCTTATTCTGTATTTCAGCGTTATTTCGTTGTGAAAATTCATTGATCATGTTGATAAAAATATGTAGATTATTTTAACCGTAAGTATGTGTTTTTTTCTCCCAAAAATACTCACAAATAAAATATGAAATGTCGGGTTTGCTTCGGGCTCGGCTGACGTCACTGCTTTCTCGATCCTCTTCTTGATCGTGAGCGCTGTCTTCACCGCTTAAATCGCCGACACTTTTACCGGGAACGGGGGTGCACGGCCGGGCTTCGTCTGTGTCGCTGGCCCCCTCATCACTGTCGACCGGGGTCGGATTCCGTGCATCTGGTAGCGAGCGTAGCGAGGCCACTCCCCCGCAACCGAGCATTTGCTCTGGAGCAAATTTAATCCAGCTGCGTTCACACGTGCACATTTGTTCCGGCGTAGCGTCGCAAACGAGCATTTGCTCTGGAGCAAATTTTTAAACCACCTCCCTGAGGTGGATCAAATTTGGTCCGGTATAAGCTCTTCAGTGGAGCTACGTCGGAGCAAATGTGCACGTGTGAACGCTCGACTGGATCTGTTTCGGCGCAGCGTCGGACCAAACGTTGCCGTGTGAACGGGGCTAATAACACCCTTCCAGGTCCCACTGCCATTGCCCACATGATCACCGAGGTCCCCCAGACGAATGAGAGAGTCCCTTGGGGGAGCGCTCTCCAACGCAGCTTCCAAGGACTCTAAATAGGGTTGTTACTCCGAACTGGTATTTGGCGCAAACAGTAGTCAGCAGAAGGCGGAGGCAGGAACCGTTACTCGACCCGAAGGCAAATCTCGCTAACCACAGGACTATCAGGACTTATCATAAATTTCCAGGCCATGAACAGTCCTGACCGACTGTCTGTTTAAAGCAGGGTTGCCCAAGTAGTCGATCGCAATCGAGCGAGTGGTAACCCACAGACTGGTCCCAAGTCAGCAGGTTGTGAGGGGTGTAGGGGGAAATGGAAAATAAATAAATAACATTATTTGTGTGTGTGTGTGTGTTATTCATATGACACATTTTTGTGTTAGTATACATTGTACCCTAAGCATCCTATGAGTTTCACTTTCACACAAGAGTAATCAAAAATTAAACATGGAGGAGGATATTGAGACATTTGTGGGAAATACCACCCCAGACCCCAAAATCATCTAAGGATTTAAAAAAAAAAAAAAAAATGTTCTTACTTCATCCACCAACAACACCGTGGTTTCAATTCTGGGGGCAGGGTTGGTGAATCGCTTCTCCAGGAGGGACGCTGCATGGTCAGCTGTAGCCTTCTGACCAGTTAGTTTCTGTGGAAACAAAACATGTTTTCATTTAAATTCAATTAGACTGTTCAAAATACACACATACACAAAAAAAGACACGCACACATATACATATATTGCAGGTAGGTAGATATATAGATATAGAAATAGACAGATATGCTGTTTTTACAGACATGGAGGTCGACAGATCTGCGCATGTCACACGTCTGTAACTACCGGTAGATCACATCTGAATGATTGACCTGTGTTCTTCAGTTGGAATGATTTCAATCAGAATGATTCCTTGTAAATGTACAGTCAAACCTCAGTTTTTGAACATCTCTGTTTTCCACCAAATCGGTTTTCGACCAAAAATTTCGAGTTTTTAATGCCTCGGATTACGACCGAAAATCGGTTCTCAACCAAACTGAGCGCACTTGAATGCGCCACTCGACTCCTCTCGCCTTCCTTACAAGTGACGCTTCCTCGGGTAGACGAGGAAGTGACGCTTCCTCGTCTAGTGTTCCATTGTGAGCAGACGTGTTCAATAAAGATTTTTTTTTAAAGAGCGTGGTTTCGCTTTTCGAACAAATCGGTTTTCGAACAGCCTTCTGGAACAGATTATGGTCGAAAACCTAGGTATGACTGTAGATGTAAGAGGGGACGCATAACTCCTATTCTGTCAAAATAAACAGCATCCAACAAATGCAGTGCAGCTCAATTTCTAGCTAACCTCATAGCTAGCCTTAAACTTTATTGTAACGTGAAGTCTCATAGAAAGTGTATGGTCCCTGAAAGGAAGAGAGAAAGAGAGAGAGAGAGAAAGAGAGAGAGAGAGAGAGCGAGCGAGCTTAGTTGGTAAGGCACCGGTTTGGCGCATGGGAGACTGGGGTTCGATTCCCACTTGGGGCAATATGAGCAAATAACATCATCCAGTGTGGGTCCTTGGGCAAGACCCTTCATGCTAATGCCTACCTCATACCATGATGAGAGACAATACAACGAATGACAAGATGGCTCAGATGTCGCCCGGCCAAACTGGCGCTGCGTCAGGTGCTGGGGAACCAGAGCACCTTGATGAAAAATGGGTTACTGGAACGAAGCGGAGATGGGCAAGATGCGATAACATGGCTCTGTTGGAATGCTACTACTCAAGCAACCCTAGTCAGAGGGGTTACATGCAGAGAATGCGGGCTGAATGGTTACTGAGCAACCCACAGTCTCGGTTGACCACAAAACAACTAGTAGCTCAGTGTTCCAACATCCACAAACGGATTGCTATCACAACTTGAGATTGATGAGGTACAACGCAGATTCCATGGTGAAGGGCCCCGGGCTGCCAGATCAGAGGAGGAGGTCAGACCAGAGATTGGGAGGCAAGGATACTGCGCAGAACCCTCAAGCTTCCTGGCCTCTGGTAGAGGACCTGAGCTGAATGTGGGACGGACACCACCCGAGGGGTGAGACGAGGATTTTTTTTCAGTAGTAGTAGTAGTAACAGTAGTAGTTGTAGTAGTAGTAGTAGTAGTGTCTTCACATAAATGCATTTCATTTGTAATTAATATCATTAAGAAAAGTAATTTGAGACTTCATCATCAGTGTGAATTTAATTAGCGGTGCCTTAAAAGACAATACTGTCCATTCAGATACAGCTGCAGCTGTGACAAAGCGCTTTACAGAACAGTTAACATAAAATAACAAACCACGGTAATACAACAAACAACACAGAACATAAAACAAGGACAGTCATGCAATCATAACCACTATTTCTGCAAATGCCTTGTTATGTGAAGCAGTTATAGATGAAAGAGCACCCTACGCACTCTTGAGGACTTGCACACTGCAAGAACCCAGACAAGGGCACAGAAAATCCTACTGGTGCCCCCGCACCCTGCCCACCACCTTTTCCAGCTACTCCCCTCAGGCAGGCGCTACCGATCCATGCGCCCCAAATCCGGATGACATTCAAACAGCTTTTTCCCTCTCGCAATTAACTCGCCAAACAGTAACCCAAACCTATAGTGGCATGCGCCCGTGGAACAGCATTCATACAATGATCATTGTAGCTCCAGCTCTGTACAGCTCTGTTCATACTTGAACAATTGTCATCAATCTATATTCCACAGCACCAGACACTTCAAAGCGCTCAAGGACTTTCTGTACAATTGCACACTTAAAAGTTGTTGTCCAATTACTGCTACTGGTCACTTTAAAAATTGTGCAAGGATTAACTGCACCAACTGCACAACCGTCATAGTATTGTATGACTGATTACTTTATCTCTGCTCGATAACGCTGCACATTGTCTCACAGTTGTCATTGGGTGGTACCAATGCCGTACCCTTATCGTAGAAAGGGTTCCGTCAGTCGTCATCTGTACTTGTGGGTAAAAAACAAAAAACAAAAAAGGACGTTTCGCTTCTCTCACAGAAGCTTCGTCAGCGGTAGACAACTCTGAAGTCTCCGTGAAGACTCCGGGAAATTGCTCTGCGCTAAAAGGCTGAGCGTGGCCTATTTGAGGACTGGGTGGGGATGGTTAGTCACGCCCCTATGGTGAAGAGGCCCATTGATTTCTAAATTCCCTATCGTTGGGTCTTGATTAGGCCTATTGTTTGGGCTAGGGCTGAATAGCTACTTTCAGTTAGCCTGATCAGCATGTCTATGTCCCTTGGTGGTCAACAAGTTATTGTAAATAGGAGACAGGTTAAATCTGATACCTCCTTCACGGTTCAGAGAGGGTGAAATTTTTGAACAAAAATCGCTTCCTTTACTCCCCTTTCAAACCATCTCTTTTCTGTTACTAGGATTTTTACTTCATCTTCAATTGTGTGGTTTGTTTCTTTTAAGTGTGCGTATACTGCACTTTTGTTATCATTGTTTTTCCATTTGT